TCTCCGCCGCAGCAGCCGGCGGCCCAGTCCGAGAAGGAGCAGCAGGAGCAGCAGCAGCAGCAGCAGGAGCAGCAGCAGCAGCAGCAGCAGCAGCAGCTGCAGCAGCTGCAGCAAGACATTGAGCTGCTGACGCCGCTCAACAGCGCCCCAGCCACCACCCAGGGCGCCGAGCTGTCTATACAGCAGAAGCGCCTCCGCCTGCTGCGGCCCGAAGATCGGCTGCTGCTGCACAACCCGAAAATCGACATAGTGGAGGCTCCCATTGTCGGTGAGGGTTTAGGGTTTAGGGTTTAGGGTTTAGGGTTTAGGGTTTGGGGTTTAGGGTTTGGGTTTGGGGTTGGGGGTGCTGCTGCAGCGTGCGTGCCTCGCTGCGGGTGTGTAGTTCTGCTGCTGCTGCGCCCGTCCAACTCATCCTGCTGCCGCTGCTGCTGCTGCTGCTGCTGCTGCTGCTGCTGCTGCTGCTGCTGCAGCGCCCCTGACTCCGCTGCAGCAGCAGCGGGGGGGGCTGCGTTACCTCTACCGGCAGCGGCTGTGCGGAGACGTGGAGAAGGCCCATTTGTCTCGAGTGGCATTTGACGAAGAGTACCACAAGTTTGCTGCTAAGGGTTTTGCTGTTGACCCTTCGGACGGAGCAGCAGCAGCAGCAGCAGCAGCAGCAGCAGCAGCTGCTGCTGCTGCTGCTGCTGCTGACGGCGAAGACCCGCAGCTGCTCCGCGGCGTCGTCGAGGCCCCCGTCCGCCTCGCCGAGTACAACCGGCTCCCCATCGCAACCAACAGCAGCAGCTGCTGCAGCAGCAGCAGCAGCAGCAGCAGCAGCAGCAGCAGCAGCAAGCCGTTGAGTCGGAAGGAGCGGAAGGCGCTGCGGCCTGAGCGGAACACGGATGTGGAGAGTGGGGAGTTTGAGGGCCCGTGGGCGTTGTACATGTCTCCCGCTGCAGCAGCAGCAGCAGCAGCAGCAGAAAAGACGGCAGCAGCAGCAGCAGCTGGCGCTGCAGCGGAGGGCGAGGCGGGGGAGGGCTCTGCCTCCGCGTCTTCCGACGCAGCAGCAGCAGCAGGAGGAGCAGCAGCAGCAGCAGCAGCAGACGCAGCCGGCGGCGCGCTGAAGTCCGAATCCCCAGCAGCAGCAGCAGCAGGAGCAGCAGCAGCAGCAGCAGCAGCAGCAGGAGTGTCTGCGGACTGCATCTTTCACCGGAAGGAGCTGTACGACTACCAGGGGCGTTCGTGGCTGGAGAGCAGCAGCCTGCTGGAGGACTCCGAGGCCAGCAGCAGCAGCAGCAGCAGCAGCAGCAGCAGCAGCAGCAGCAGCAGGAGCTTCTTGCCGCGGCGGCTGCTGCACACGTACGCGGGCCACCGCGGGCCCGTGCAGGCGCTGCAGCTGCTGCCCCGCAGCGCCAGTTTGCTGCTGTCGGCTTCCTTCGACAGCAGCATCAAACTGTGGGGTGTCAGTGGCAGCAGGAAGCTGCAGTGTACGTACACCGCACACAAACAAGCAGTCCGAGACATCCGCTTTTCCAAAAACGGATTTCACTTTTATTCCTGCAGTTACGACGGCACAGTGAAGCTCTGGGACACGGAGCGGGGGGTGGTGGTTTTATCAGTTGGGGGGGGGGGCCCCCCGGTCTTTTACCCTTCGGGGGCCCCCCCGGGGGCCCCCGGGGGGCCCCCCGGGGGGGCCCCCGGGGGGGCCCCTGCAGGCGCGGGGGGGCCGCTGACGAGGGGCGACGCGCGGCTGGGGGGCCCCCTGAGCGTGGCGGGGGCCCCGGGGGGCCCCCTGGGGCTGGGGGCCCCCCTGGGGCTGGGGGCCCCTTTGGGGGCCCCTGTGGGGGCCCCCCTGGGGGCCCCCGGGGGGCCCCCCGCGTCGTTTAAAACGCCGTTTTGCGTGGCAGTGCACCCGGAGGAAGACTGGTGCATTGTGGTGGGGGGCAGCAGCAGAAAAGCTGTGCAATTGGACATGAGGAGGGGAGAAGTAGTTGTGGAATATAATGAGCATTTGGGGACTGTTAACACTGCAACATTCGAGGAAAACGGCAGAAAACTGGCAACAACAGCAGACGATAAGAAACTCTTCTTCTGGGAAACGGGGCTGCCAGTTGTGCTCAAGTACGTGGCTGAGCCGGAGATGCATGCGTTTGCTGCAGCTTGCTGCAGCCCGGGGGGGCGTTATTTGCTGCTGCAGTCGCAGGGCAACGAGTTGCTGACTTACGAGGCCCAAAAGCCCTTCAAATTTGTCCCCAAGAAGCGCTTCAAAGGCCACTCTACTGCGGGCTTTGCCGTCAGGCCTTGCTGCTCTCCAGACGGCGCTTTTGTGGCTTCCGGAGACGCCAAAGGAGACCTTTTTTGCTTCTCTTTTGCTTCCGCCAAAGTCCTCAAAGTGCTGCCCGCCCACAGGCCCAAGGCCTGCGTCGACGCCCTCTGGCACCCCGCCAGCCCCAGCAGGGTCTTCACTGCCGGCTGGGACGGACTCATCAAACTCTGGGACTAACTCTCCTGCTGCTGCTGC